CTTAAGACCTTGGCCTTTTCTTGAGCACCTTGCAGGTAAAAAGGAAAAAGCCAAGCCAAGTATCCTGCCAGGATCTTTCCATCTCCTTGCTAGCGATGTGTGACATGTAGTGCTGAGCTGATTTGGGGGCCCATGGAAGGGTGATGGTGACAACTATTGCAGGTAAGATGACTCACTTTAATTACCTCCTTTAAGCTAACCTCATCATTCTCCCACCCCTCAATTCTGAAGGCTGCCCTTTTCCCCAGACATCTCCTCAGGCTCTCACACCTCTGGGTAGACACCCAATGAAACGTAAAATTACAAAGTACACATGTTGAAAATGTGTGCTGATGTAATCAAGTAAATGCAGTAGATATTGGTAGGAAGACAGCAACACTCTGAACTTGATAAGAAATGTAGATAATAATAAAGAAGAGGTCAAGAATTTGAAAGGGAATAGAGGACACAGGAGGAGTTGGAGGGGCAGAACTTAAGGGTGGAGATTATGGGAACACAATACTCATTTATGAAATTTGCCAAAAGGTTAAGTCAAATAAAATAATCATGATGAAAAAATTCAGCTCTATAAACATAACAAAACTTTCCAATTTTGAGAGGAGGAAAGTAATTCCATTTCCCAGAGCTGGTAGAAAATTATCTTTCTTTCAGTTTTCTATTAACTGTGAGGCCTCTGATGTCTCCGATTTTCCCCCACCCCTTGTCAAACAAAACAAAACAAAAACAAACATACACAAAGCCATGATAACAATAGTTGTTGCCAGGCATTGGTGACACACGCCTTTAATCCCAGCACTTGGGAGGCAGAGGCAGGAGGATCTCTGTGAGTTCAAGGCTAGCCTGGTCTCCAGAGCAAGTGCTAAGACAGGCTCCAAAGCTACACAGAGAAACCCTGACACGAAAAACCAAAAATAAATAAAATAAAAATAAAAATAAATAAATACAAAATAGTTGCCTATTCAAAAGTTGCCTGGAAGAATTTGGGGGCTGGGAGAGATGGGGGTGGAGAATAAAGGGCTGTGGGAATGCTAAAATGGAAAGAAAAATGCTTTAATTTGCCAAAAGAGTTTGAATTAAGTCTGTAGTCAAGTTGAGCATAAACCTTCATCTTTGGCCGGTGGTGGTGTTTAAGGTTTAGGTATAGGTGTTGAAGTCAGGGAAAGGTTCAATTACACATCTGGGTGGTTAAATTTTGGACCCTTATACTAAACCTGTGGTCCAACTCGTGTGATTTCTTTAGTAAGGGGATGTTTGAAAGAGCTTTGCCCTTTCATGGTGTCACTAGATGGTGATGTTTAAATACCCTGTCAAGTATTTTTGTTCTGGAGATAAGCATTGATTTTCCCAAACTAATATAACATATGGGGTAACCATACCCTGAAATGGAGACAACACCCCAGGGACACAGGAAGTGTAGAAGCCTAAGCTGGTCTTTTGAGGAACCACACTTCTAAAAGAAGTTACAACTCTCCGTATGGTATACTGTGCTGTTACCAAGGAGCCATACTTAATGTAAAACCTGTACAGTCAAAAATACTACACAGTCATCAGTGCTGAAATGGAAGATGGGTGGACATTAGACATCTAATTTGCCCCAGATTATTTGTTAATGTCCATCTTCAATTTGAGTGAAAAGGAGTTAGGGCGAGTCACATATGCCTATAGATCGCTTTGTCTGTCTTTCTCCAATAAAGGTCAGAAACTGCTGTTTGTTTAATGTTTGCAACATCTAGTCTAGTTCATCTAGGGCAGTGAAACAACAAATTGGCATTTTTTAATGGACTAAACATATTAAAAACACAAACATTAGTCAATAGCCATTACTTATAACATGTAGCATAAATGTTTTTATTGATCCACAAAGTCGCCACCAAACATTTACATCATAGCTGTCTTCTGCCAGAGGTAATTTCCTCTGTGTGCCATTTGCCTAAGCTAAGGTACATCTAAAACTCCAACTGTCTAGTGCAAAATCTGAATAATACCCACTCACTCAAACTTGGGATTATAATAGGTTTACTTAAAATTCATAGACTGACTTTAAAATCTCCATATCCTAGCTCCTAAAATAATGAAAATAAATAACAGCACAAAATTAAAAATAAACCATGTTCTAAAGGCTTACTTTGTAAAACTACATTAGTTTAAATATATTAACAGGTTATATCACATTAGCCTCTTGTCCTGGAAAATGGGTCCCATTAACTTGCCTGCGTTTGTCTTACCATCAAAGTGAGAACATTTTGTATGTTTGTGGGCTGTGAACAGAGCATTCAGAGAATTTAGACTCTCTACCGGCGCCTGGGTTAAAGATTTGGAAAAAGGATTCTGACAGATAATTCAGATGGTTAAAAATTGAGGACAAGGGACTGCTTAAGGGGTTAATATGCCTAGTGTATGTTATCTTCCACAAATCGATTTATTTTTCAATAATGAGGCCATGTTTTATATTTATTTATCTTGTCGAGTCGCCGAAGATCAGGTGGAGGGATTTGTTGCTAATTTAAGAGGCGA